GTCGCTAGCCCCTAGCAGGGCAATGCGAAGAATCGCGAGCCAGTGAGCTAAACGCGGTGATAGAAAGTGTTGGGAGTATGCCGTCAGCTTGGGCTCATCCGGAACCGTTTCAAAGAGAAATGATTCTCAGAGAATAAATTGAGTCCTCCAAGTAGTGGAAACTGCAGATTGTTTCGTGCGTCCTGACTGCGGAGGAGAAACAGAGAGAGGACTTTGAGACGAAGTTTTGAATCCCTACCAGCTCTGCCAGTAGTATGTATGATATAAATAGTATCCGATGTTACGGGTGGGAGAAGAATAGGGAAGGCAAGAGATGAGGCAGAAGGATAGGAGAAAAAATGACATCAGAAATTTACTCATGTATATATATACACATACACACACAGGAAAAAACTGTAAGAATACCCATTAAAATGTTAGTGGAATATCTCGCCTATCAAAATGGCAAGAATCCAAAATTTTGACAATTCACTCTGCTGGCCCGGCATTCTCAGAAATAACTGGCAAGTATGCAAAATGGTGCAAGCCCATGGAAGGGAATTTGGCAATGCCTACCTAAATAACAAAGGCATGTACTCTCTGTGTTTGTTTCTGTTTTAGAGACAGGGTCTCACTGTGTTGCCCAGGTTGGAGTACAGTGGCACCATCATATCATCATAGGTCACTGCAACCACCAACTCCTGGGCTCAAGGGATCCTCCCACCTCAGCCTCCTGAGTAGCTAGGAGTACAACAGGCACGTGCCACCATGCCCAACTTGTTTTAAAAGTTTTTGTGCAGAGACAGGGTCTTGCTATATTGCCCAGGCTGGTCTCAAACTGTTGGTCTCAAGGAATCCTGCCTCGGCCTCCAAAGCACTGGGATTGCAGGAGGGTGTGTACCCTTTAACCCAGATATCTCATTTGTGGAAATGTATCTTGAAGACAAAACCTGCACGTTTATAAAATGCTGTGAGTACAAGGTTAACAACTGCAGCATTTAAAAAAAATCATTGGGCAACGTGTTATTCCATAAATTAGAATAAATGTTCCCTGTTTTGCAGCATCATTTGTGGTAACAATTACTGGAAATCACCCAAATGTCCATTTATAAGACCTGGTTAAAAGTGTGAAGAATTCACACCATGTAATACTATGCAGCAATATTTTTTAAATGAGAGAAACTTCTGCTCCCAGACAAGGTGGAATGGTAGGATGTGAAACAACTAGGTAAAAAAGGCAAAAATATATGCAATATGATTCTGAAGACACTAAACATTGGGCAACAAAGGACTATAATCCTTGAGAGACAGAAGGCAAATAAGATGAGCCCTGTCATTATCCCAGCTCACTGCAAGAGACAGTTTCCAAGCCATGGTGCATAGAGAAGGAACCCAGGAAGGGACCAATAGTCTCCTTGAGTTGAAGAGACGAAGCCAGGAGTCTGCATAGATCCATTATGAGGAGAAATATCAAGCAATCAAAAGTGACGCAGGGGACAGAATTAGCAGATAAGGACACCTTAAAGAGTTATAACTATTTTATGTATGTGCAAGAAACAAGAGGAAATATTGTATATATTAAGGAGAGACGTAGAACACACAAAAATATTTAAGAACTCAATTGAACATCTAGAGATGAAAATTACAATGTCTAAAATGAAAAAGACATTGAATGATATTAAAGGCAGATTACATTGAAGATAAAAAGATTGTTGAACTTGAAGACATAGCAATGGACACTATCCAATATAAAGCATAGGAAAAAAGACTGAAAAATGAAAATTAACAGAGCATCAGTAAGCTGTGGTATTTCTGACATATGTGTAATTGGAGTTCCCAAAGGAGAGGACAGGGAGGGA